AATTGGGATGGGAGTGTCAGAGACAGTGCGATTGGCACAGGACAGAGCAGAGTTTAGGGCTGTTGTACATAGGGTCGCTATGAGTCGCAGGTGACTCGACGGCACATAACAACAACAACAACAACATGTCTTCAAGCTTTCTTCACACTGTAGCATGTATAAAAATTTCATTTCTCTTACTGGCTTAAGTACTCTTCTTTGGATATATGTACTACGTTTTATTTATCATTCATCCTCTGATGGTCACTTAGGTTGTTTCCACATTTTGGATATTGTAAATAGTTCGGTAATAAACATTAGCACTTGTTTCTCCATTTTTTTAATTTCTGCTTTCAAGCTCTATGGGTATATTAGGAATGGAATTGCTGGGTCATATGGCAGTTTTAAGAGAAGAGAGTTGAACATCACTTGGATTGCCAAAAGAACATGTCTTGGAAAGGGTGCAGTCAGAGTGCTCTTTGGAGGCATGGATGATGAGGCTTCACTTCACGTACTTTGGGCATGGTGCCACGAGGGGCTATTCCTTGGAGAAGGACATGATGCTGATAAGGGTGGAGGGTTGGCCAAGGAGAGGAAGAACCTCAACCAGGTCGATTTATGTAGTGACTGCCACAATGGGCTCTAGTGTGTCAGGAAGTAGGTGTGAAGATGGTACAGGAAAGGGTTCAGATTTGTTGCTCATAGACTCGCTATGAGTCATACGCAACTCAACAGCACCTAACAACAACAACAACAACAACAATAACATGGTAGTTTTTATTTTCTATGTTTTAAGGAACCACTGCATTGTTTTTCCACAATGGCTTATCATTTCACATTGCCATCAGCAGCGGATGAGGGTTCCAATTTCCTCAAGTCCTTACCAACATTTGTTACTATTTTTTTTTTAAATACCAGTAATTTTAATGGTAGTGAAATGGCATCTCAGTGTGGTTTTGATATGCATCTTTTGAACAGTTAATGACATTGAGCATATCTTCATTTGCCCTTTGAATGTCCTATTTGGTGAAATATATATTCAAGTCTTTTGTCTATTTTAAGTCTTTTTAAGTTGTCAAAGTTTATATATACATACTTATGTGTGTGTGTATATATATTTTATATTTATAATTAGTTCTATCAGACATATATAATTTGAGTATATTCTCTGTTTTTATTTTTGGTAAGATCTTTTGATGACTAAAAGTTTAATTTTTAAGAGGTTTCATTTATATAATTTGTCTTTTGTTGACTGTGCTTTTGTTTTATATCAGATATATCAGATAATTCATTATTGAAAGCTACCAGACAGTGTAGCCCCTGTATTTTCACATATCATTTTGAGTAACTGAAATATATACACTGAAATAAATGTGAGCTGCAGAAGGTTGTGATAGCTGTTCCACAGTGGCTAGAGCAATGTCTGATATAAAGTAAGTGCTCAATATTTACTGAATACATGAAAGCAAGCAACATCAAGAAACTGAAAATTACTTACACCTAGTTCAAGATCATACTTCTCTTCTCACTCTGCTGTCTGACAGACAAATTTATATAATCAATTTCACCATGATCACGTTTCTCTTTAACACGTTGCCACACACTTTTAAATTGACTCTAGCATTAGCAATGTCTAACTGAATAGATCTCAATCATGTTACAATTCTTGACATACTAACTCTTTAAATCCTCTAGCTGGAGAGTACTATCTAATAAAAGGTATGGGTACTGTTTAAAGATCTAGACACATTTCTTAGGAGATGTGTTATCTATTAGTTAGCATACCATTTTAAGAAGAGATTAAAACACCTAATCATAATTTATCTACCCCAAAGAAGACTTTTGTTTATGCACCTATACTACTTAATAAGGTACTGCATTGAAGAGGGATATACTTACTGGGATGCAATGTTGGGACATGCTGTCCAAGTCGGTCATCTTTTAGCATGTGTAGCAGTGTTGTTTTCCCTGCATTATCCAGTCCAAGAAATACCAATTTACCAGTTTTCTTATATAATCCTGCAAAGTGAGAGGAAGGGATTACTGCCATTTTACAAATAAGGAAACTAAGGCTAAAGTCGCTACGCCATGTGCCGTCAAGTCAGAACTGACTCAAAGCCAACCCTCCACTGGGTTTTCAAGAAGCTGTCAATAGCATGAGAAGAGCATGCCCATCTTTCTCCTGGAGAACAGCTGGTGTATTTGAAACACCTGCCTTTGAGTTGGCAGTGCAACTTCTTTTCTACCAAACTACCAAAGCTAAGGTTGAAAAATTAATTTGCTAAAGGTTGCATAATTTATAAGGGTTGCAGTGAGAAACGCAACATCCCCTTTTCTGCCATTGGTATCGACTCATAGTCAACCTTCTATTGGGTTTCCAAGGCTATAAATCCCACAAGAAGAGATTGCACCTCTTTCTCCCACAGAGTTTCGTGTGGATTTGAACCTCCAGAGAGGTATGGCCTTTAGGTTAGCAACACAATTCTCTATGGTCTATAACACCAAAGTTATTCATTAAACATAGGTCTGTATTATTTTAAGACCAAGAGACTTTACACAAATAAGCACTAGTATATTGAATAGCTATAAAGAAGAAAGGGCTCACATTACCTAAAAATTGTAGCACACTGCTGAAACCACTGTAAATCCAGTCAAATATGAAGGACATATTCAAATGTTATAGGATCTATAAAAGGAAAATTTTTCAATTTAGTAAGTCAACATTAAATAGCAATATACATTAAATACCAATAACGTTAAACATCAACCCTTTGAACAAATAATTCTAGAACAACCTTGTTGTTGTTGTTGTTGTTATGTGCCGTCGAGTCGTTTTCGACTCATAGCGACCCTATGCACAACAGCCCTAAATCCTGCTCTATCCTGCGCCAACCGCACTGCCTCCGACACACCCATCCCGATTACCCCAGTCACCAAATCAATCCATCTCATAGAGGGTCTTCCCCTCCTGCGCTGTCCCTCCACCCTCCCAAGCATGATGTCCCTCTCCAAGGACCCGTCCCTCCTGGCAACATGTCCAAAGTATGTCAGACGAAGTCCCAGAATCCTTGCCTCCAAGGAGCAGTCTGGTTTAATCCTCTCCAAGATGAATCTGTTTGTTTTCCTGGCAGTCCATGGTACATTCAGTACTCTTCTCCAGCACCACAGCTCAAAAGCATCCACTCTCCTTCTGTCCTCCCTAGTCATTGTCCAACTCTCTGAGGCATAACAAACGATTGCAAATGCCATGGCCTGTATCAGGCGCACCTTAGTCTCCAGAGAGACACCATTGTTCCTGAGTACTTTAGAGAGGTCCCTAACAGCGGACTTTCCCATCGCGATACGCTTTTTGATTTCCTGACTGCTGGTGCCAACTGTGTTGACTGTGGAGCCGAGCAAACTGAAGCTGTGAACAATCTCAATCTCTTCGCCATCCATCTGTTGCTGCCAATTGGTCCAGTGGTGAGAATCTTTGTCTTCTTGACATTGAGCCTCAGTCCATACTGAAGGCTGCAGTCCCTGACCCTTCGCAGCAAGTGCATGAGGTCCTCCTCAGTTTCAGCAAGCAGGGTTGTGTCATCTGCATAATGCAGATTGTTAATAGATCTTCCACCAATCCTGATGCCACAATTCTCCTCATAGAGCCCAACCTCTCGGATAATCTGCTCTGCATACATGTTGAAAATTTATGGAGAGAGGGCACATCCTTGGCGAACACCCTTCCCAATTTTGAACCATTCAGTGTTACCCTGCTCTGTTCTGACTACTGCCTCTTGGTCCAAGTATAGGTTTTGCATTAGCACGATTAAATGATGTTGTTATTTGAGATAAATTTTGGAAATAACTAGGTTTGACAGTAAAAAGAAAGCATATAGTCTATTAGGGAACTCTGTGGCAGAGTCTGAAGGAAGCTGCATTGATAACCCATAGGCAATGCCTCTCTGGTGGTTAAAATCCACCAGCAGCTCCACAGGAGAAAGATGGGTATTCTCCTTCCTGTGTGATTTGTAGCCTTGGAATCTCACTATAGGATGAGTTAAGGGTTGGATCCAACTTGACAGCAATGAGTAAGTAAAAGATATATGGTCTACAGGGAGCTCTGGTGGTGTAGTCAGTAGAAAGCTGCACTGCCAACTCAAAGATGGAACTTCTTTGGCAGTTCGAATCCACCAGCACTCCAAGGGAGAAAGCTAGCATATCTCCTCCCATGCAATTTGTAGCCTCAGAAACTTGCTGGAAGGTCAGCTATGAGTTTTCTCACTCAATGGTGATCATTTTTGAGTGAATAAAAATGGTATATGGAATACCTACCAAAGTCTTCATGATGTTACTTGGGTGCAGGGAAGGAGAACATAAGTTAGGAAAAGAAAGAAAAAAAGAAAGAGGAAAGACAGTTATGATGAAATCTAGTTTCTAAGTCTGTTATTGTTGATTGCTTTCTAGTTGAGAATGACTCATAACGACCCTATGAACAAACAGCCTGAAGCCCCTCTACAACTATCGGCATTTATCAAAGTTCATAGTTTCCAGAGGCATGTTATTTAGGAAGTGAATCATCTGCTTATCACAGGCTGCTGATGAGTCTTCCTCCAATAGTGACGACACATTCTTCTTATATTTCAACTTTTTAGATTATGTATGGCATATATTTATTCAGATTAAATAAATATAGTTTCAGGATTTTGCTCTCTTTCGCTGACATGTCTTTTTCTAAGGATTAGCCCTCCTTACAACATGCCCAAAGTACACAAAAGATGTTAGATATGGTGTTAATAGACAGATGAGAGTGGAAGAATCAATAGAATTCAGGAAGGCAATAAGGGGAAGAGACTGGTAAAAGTGGAAAGAAATTAGTTATAACAAATATAGTTAGTGTGACCAAAACTGGCTTTGGTGACAAGGAAACACTGTTAAGAACATGAGCAGTGAGAAGTAGGACAGTAGTACAAGAGAGCTTGCAGGGGAGCTCTGGTGGCCTACTGGCAAGAAGGTGCAACTACAATCCCAGAGGTGCACGGTTCAAATCTACCAGATGCTCTGCCGGGGAAGGAGGGACAATCTCCTCTTCTACCAGTCAGATCTGATTTGACAGTACACTCACACAGAAATATTAAAATTTTAAAAAATAAAATAAAAAATTAAAAAAAAAGAGAGCTTGCGATCAGTGTTGAAGAGCAAAGCTTAGTAAATCCAAGCCAATCTCTAAGATCTATTGTGTGAAAAGTTCTAATTTTCTTCTGAAAAATCTCTCAGGGCTTGTAAAGATCAAATCATATAAAATGCAGAGTATTTACTATTAGGGGCTGTGATTTTTGAGAAGTGAATGGGATACAGGGGTTCACAGGCAGAGGCAGTAGAAGAAATTCCTTTCTCAAAAAACCTGAAACTGAATGAGAGAAACAAGATTTTTTTTCCTAAGCAAAGATGAAGCTTGATTATGTTGATAAGGTGAAACTACAAATCAAAAAGAAGAGAGAAGAATTAACCAAATGAAATGTTAAAGGATACAAGGAGCCTGACCGAAAGTGCATCTCTCCATCGAAGATTAGAAGAAAGGACAAGGAAAAGTGTTATGGAGGTGGCAGGAATCTAACTGAAAAAAGATAAGAAAAGGTGTAGAGAAATCTTGATGAAGGTAATAATTGCTTTTTTTAAAAAAAAAAAAGCTAAAGGCTCAGCTGAGGTGAAAAACAAATATTCACAGCACTGTCAGTCTCTTTCCACCACTGCCTCTCCCTACAGCAAAACCCAGTTTTAGAGAAGGAAGAATGACTGGGAATAATGGACTTTCAGGATGTTATGGTTGTTGGATGCTCTCAAGCTGACTATGCTTGATAGCAACCAAATGAACAAGAACAGGCAGCAAGGTTCAACCTTCCCTTTTTCTGTGCCACCCTCTCTATCTCTGACATGCTCCCACCCACTGTTACACGTTAAGGGCTGAACAAAGGACTATGAAATCAAGGAGATGAGAGGGCCAAGGAGGAGATAGGGGCATGGGGAGGTGCTACTGATGTGATCTGATCAGAAGTGCGGAATGAGTGTGTAACGATACAAAAGCAGACTGCATAAAGGAGTGGCATGGAGATTAAAAAAAAAAAAGTAAGCAGGCTTTGATAGAACAGAACTGAGAGAAAAGGGCAAAGTCTTTAAAATGTAGTAAAAGGGTGAGAGATAGGTGACTCAGAAACACACTGGCATTGGAGAAGAATGTGGGGTTCAAGAAGTCAAAAGAGGATTAAGACTGAATGGTGGTAAACTCTTAAATCCAGCTCTAACACGGACTGAATGATGGTACTCTTTAAGTCTGGCTCTAACACAGACCTCTGAAGGGAACCAAAAGACATGAAAAACCAGGCTACTGAATACACTACCCACACGGACAAGCTGTGAGATCACCCAGAAATGTGAAAGGCACTGCTACTGAAAGCAAAATTCTCACAGAAGTGGCAAAATCCTCTTACTGAGGGTGACTACTGGTGATAGTCATGAAGAGTGGCAGAACACGGTTAGCCTTGAAAGAAAAAGGAGATGGTACCAATCTGCTGTAAAGTGTATCCCACAAGAAATGATCTAATAACTTTGTGGAGAACACTACAAGATAATCAGATAAATTAATATTTATATAAAAGAAAAACCTCTAAAAACTTCATAGCAAACTAGGAGTCATTAAAAATCTCTTTTCTTTTTTAAGTAGGATAAAAATGCCCAACTAAGAATAAAAGTTACTTAGCCACAAACAGATATCTGAGCCCTGAAAACAGGTTACACAACACCATGAACACACTGTTAAGACATGTGAAGAGCAAAGGTCAAGAACAAGGAAACACATACACGTCAGCAGATTTATTTATTGCATGAACACTAAACAGGATAAATCCCTACACAGATTAGAAAAGTGATCTACTCAAATAACACAAAAATCAGTGCAAAAAGTGCAATGGAACATATTCTCAAAGCTGTGTCCCACTTAGCTTATATGGATGATTCCATTTATATGAAATGTCCAGAATAAGCAAATTCTTAGAGAAAGCAGATTAGTGGTTGGCAGGGACTGGAGAGAGGAGAGCATGAAGAGTGACTGCTGTGGGGTTTTTTTTAGGAGTGATAAAAATGTTCTGAAATTGGACAGTGGTAATGGCCGAACATTTAAAATATACTAAAAGCACAGAACTACATGCTATAAAAGGGTCAATTTTATGTTATATGAATTATATCTCTCAGTAAAGGGATCATATAAAATGAAATAAAAGTAAAATTTAAAACTTACTAACTTTTAATATTTACAACAAATTAATAAAAACTAAGCATGAATTTTAAAAATTGTATTTATAAGGAAAAGCACATTTCAGAGAAAATAGTCTAAATAGGCAGTAGTTGTTGTATACCATTGAGTCAAAACCAATCCACAGCTGACCTTCCAGCAGGTTTTCAGAGGAAATAAATCACATGGGAGGAGACTGCCCATCCTTCTCCCACTAAGTAGTTGATGGATTCATACTGCATGCTTTAAAGAGGCAGTATGAAATCAAATTATGATTATAATTATAGAATCAATGAATTAATAACTCTGAAAAGCAAAGCCTGGTAGGACCAAATACCTATTCAGATACCTAGAATAAAGAGTTGTTATGTGTCTAGTCACTTGCTACTCATAGCGACCCTATGTACAATGGCCCTAAACCCTGTTC